CAAAATAAATAAATAAAAATGGTATGTTTGAATAAAAGGAAAACCAGAGACAATATACATCCACCGTAAGGAGAAAGTGAAGTACAATATTCAGTGGAGTTTGCTCTTGTCATATCAACCTTTTTTAACAGGTTTAGTATGTAAACTTAACTCAAGTAAATACTTCCCTAAGGTTCTTGAGCATTTCTGTATTTAATACTTAGTAATTTGGAAGGTGTGTTTAAAGCAGCTAATCCATTTCAATTTATTGAGGATACCAGTGTCTTTCGGAGAATCTATAGTATATCCAAAATTCTTTGTGCAGAAATCTTTTCTTTTGTCTCTTAGGAAAAGTCAGGCAAGAAACAGAGAGGCCATAATTTGTCAGTTGTGCAATTGAAGAGGTCCCTAATTGAGATTTTGCCTATTCTATTAAATACAATTTTGGAGGTCTTCAGTTTCATAGCCTTGATTTGCCCCAATAATTTTATGGCCTGATTTTAGACAAAGAACAAATGGTTTAAATTCCTAATTCGAGTCTAACCTCTGCAAGTGAGGTTCTTCTATCCACACCAAAATACACTGTACAGCTATTCGGAATACACTAGCATCACTACTCAGATGCTCTGATTGTGTTTGTGTTTGTTCTAATAATGGTGTGTGTTGTAAGCCAAACTTCATCTCCATATAAAAGCATAGTGGTAGTGTTGATTTTGCATGCATAGAATCTGAATCTAATGCTTTGTAATTTTTAATATTGAATTTGAGTTCTCAGGGTGAACTCCTTTCATGATAAGGGAGTCAAGAACCTGCCTCAGAAGACTCCATCTACATAACAAAAGGTGTTGACTTGCTCAGTTGACTCACCATTTAATAGCCATCTATGACTGAGATGGTGTTTTTAAAAACCATAATCTTTATTTTGATGTATTAATAATCAAAGAATTATTAAGGCAGTAGTAGGCAAGTCTTAACAATCTATGCAACCCAAAATAGAATAGTAAAAATCATATTGTCAACATATAGCAACATAAAGTATGTCAACTTAGTCATGTGTAGTACAGAATCCTTCATCGGTCGTGGTAAGTCATTAACATATAGATTGAATAGCAATAGTGCAACTATGCACCCTTGTCTTACTCCTTTGTAAGTAAGACAGTCGATCCTCCTTGTCATGGCTTCTTCAACCCTAAACCACACCCTGAAGCAGTTTACAATATACTCTTTATAGTAGTTGTAAAGTATTGAGGACAATTAATTTCAATTTCCTCTGTAATATTTTTCTGTTTACTCAAATGCTGCACAAAGGTTTATAAAGGCAGCAATCAGCTGTGTCCCTTTACTGACATATTTGATAATTAAATGATTCAAGACAAAACATTACTGCATTGAACGTGCCTGAAGCCAGTTTGTTCTACTGCAAGAATGTACAGTACTTGTCAACTACCCAATTCTCAAGAGGAACCTGGCATATATTTTAGCCACAATATCTATTAGATGCATGAGCCTGTAATTGCTAGAATCCTTTTTAGGAACTACAACTGCCATCTTCCCCCTGACTGTGATATGGCAGATACTGTTTATATGTATAAATAAACCCACCAAGGGAGGGGCTTATGGTTGGGTATTTTTTGAATAGCTTGGCTGGTAGAAAGCCCTCAACAGGGATTTTATTTATTGCTCTTCATGCCTTTTGTAATAGATTTAATGTTGTTTTTTCTAATACTGGTGGTCAGAGGGGTATAGTCTCAGTAGGCAGTAAATTGCTATTTAGTAACTGTTTCTCAACAGGTTCCAGAAAGCAAACAGGTGATGATAATAATTTTCCCAATCCTCGACCGTGATTGGTATATTGAATGTGAATCTCCATTCTTTCAGGATCCTGGCTATATAGAGTGCCAAAATATAGCTGAATTATGACTTCTTGCTGACAGCTCATGTCCTGACCAATTTGAAGCAGCATGGCTTTCACCCCCCACTCCCCTTTGATTTAACAAGCTTTTTGTATCCTCTTCTTAAAGACAGTGTCTTAGCCTTATATATACAAAGGAATGCCTGTGAGCAAATCTCATAACTGGGTCTTCAATTGCTTTTTCATCAAATGACATTCATTGTCAAACCTGGGAAATCTATCTATGAGGAAACTTTTGGAGGAGAGTTTGGTTAATAGATGTTTTTTCTCAACACGTGACATAAATTTATGAATGCATAGAACACTGACTGTGGACTGCTAAGACCCAACTGATAGCATTCTCTGATTTGAGACTATACACAATTGTCTTGGTAGACATGCTTTGGACCATATTAACTGTTTTATTTTATTCTGACTCATCTCTCAGTCAGTTATAAACCATGTTATATGAGTTTAAGTCCAAATAGACAAGGAAGTTCCCACTCACTGGCTGGTGATGACTCTCTCTTGGATAGATAATGACCTCTGAGAACATTAGCTTTACTTTTTGATACACAAATTAAATCTAACATGTTTGAGTGTAAGGTGGTTGGATGGGTATATATAATCATTATCCTTGCCTCCCAGAATTTGAAGATCACATTTAAAAATCAGCAATGTTAAGTTTAGACCAGCAGTATTATCTTTATCTTTTGAATGCCAATGATGATTATTTAAAAAATTATTTAGGAGTTCACTATATTGACTGTAATCATATCATGTAACAAAGGGATGTATTTGGTGCAATATAAATATTTACCAGTACAAGCTGAACCTTTTTATATCTGAATATAATGGCCAGTATATGATGCAAATGATTCCTCTTATATGATTTCCCACCCTGCCATTGCAATTCTTCCTTAGCAAGAATACATAATCCCCTTGAAGCTCTCCCTTTATACTTTAATTTGTACCAGCATTGAAAATCTGAGAGTTGTAATGGGTCATCCTCTCCTGCTAAGCAGGTGTCGTGTAAAGATATTTTATCAAATTCAGAAAAGAATTTCATCAAATCAATTGATATTTTATACTAGAAAGTATTCTAGAATTCTTTTAAATTCAAATAAATTTTATTTTGAACACAGAAATTAGGAATTTCATTTTGGACACCTTTCTGAAATGATAGGGACACAATTGGGACACTTCCAGGTAGAACATGTGTGTGGAATTTGCGCTTGGCACAATTCTAACCTTTTTAAAAAGGGACCAGTTAAACTCTGTAAGTATTTATACATCTAATGACACCAAGATCACATTTTAGGTGGCATTGAGAGGCCAAATTACAGTATATGTTAGCTAAATATTTTCCCCTTCAATATCTTTAAAGTCCAATTGAGAAAGGTAATGCAAAATAGCTAAATAGAATTTCCAGAATCTGAAGCATTATACTTCAGAAGTGAGTAACTGGATATAAAGGCTTTCTGGCAGAAAATGTCTAGCTACCACTGAAGAGAAAGCCTTATACAATACTGATCCTTGATCTGAATGGGAAGCAGGAACCTTCCAATCTTAGACAAGTAAACAGTTCTCTAGCATATGGTGAATTAAAATTGATTAGTATATTTAGTTTAGTAGGAGTCTGGATGCTTCTGTGATCTCATGGGCATTATTTTACCTGGATTGAATGTTAATACTTATTTTGGTGAGTTCTTGTAAGCATGTGATTATGTCATCAATATCTAACTATCCAGCTTCTCTTGGTCTTTAATTCTAAGAAGCTGGAAATATTTCTTAATAATCAGTGCAACTTCTCCTTTTTCCTTGTTCATGTTCTTTTAAAGAAAATCTATCTTTTTATTGCTGCATTTCATTTATAGATTTCTTATTAGATGTCAGTTAATAGATATAACCATAATCTTATTATTGTAATAAAGAAAGTGAAAATAATGAAATTTATGAGTAATGATTTTTCTGAATTTTTTAATTGAACTACTTTCTCACATCCTCATTCTGGTCTCAAATCATTTGTCATAAGTCACTTTGTTTATTGTAGAAAAAGAAAGGTAGAATACTAATAAACCAGTAAATGAAGTCCTTACATTAAATCCTTCTGAGTAGCAATCTGCAACTAGCACAAAATTCAGCTGGAACATTTTTAATCAAGAAGAAATTTCTTATTACAATTTAGCCAGCAGAGAAATGGCCTCATGGAATGGAATTTGAGTTAAAAGTGTTTGAGAAATATTTTGTATGGGTTACATTAATAGCCAGAAAGCTGTGTTTGTCTGGAACTGCAGTTGATTTATTTATTAAGGATTGGTTGAATTGGTTATTAATTCTACTTCTCTATTCATATTGAATATTCAAGAAGCAACTAAAAGCAACTAAAACACATAGGAAATTATTTAAGTGGGGTTTGTTTTCATTTCCCAGTTTATGCTCTGTTTTTCCCCTGTATTTACACATTTTTACTACAATAGACTGGCTAAATGCAAATAAATATTGACTTAACAATTAATAGAATATAGGATTTTTTCATGTAAATTAGAAAAAATATCTGCATCTTAGTGGCTCTATTACAAATAATAATTTGCTGAGAAATTAAATGGAATAGAGTTGGCAAGAAACATGTGTGACGATTACATTTCTTCTGATCTATGTAGCCATTGATAGGATACATTGTCCTATTCTACTTCATATTGAAGAAGTTTTACATGGATTTGCTCTGCTTTATGTTTTCTCGTGCTCTTAAGTTTGCTGGTTTACATTTTAAAGTTTAAAAAATTCAATCATCTTGTACTTATCTATGTTTAAAGGTGATTATATGAATGAATGAACCATAAATGCAAAGATGTAGAGCATATTGGCAGAGGAAAATGGAAATTTCTGAATTAGATAGATAAACTTTCCTTTTGTACCTCCAAAATACCTAATTTTATTTCTTATTACTCCTTGAAAACTCTGGATTTTAATTGAACACCTTCACAGCAAATATTATATATTTTAAAATATGACAACCCTAATAGATATGCAGAAACAATTATAGTTGAATCAATTTCCCAATACAAAATCATTTTCAAAATTGAAGAATGGATTTCCTGGTAATGAATATCACAATTTAATTTGTCAGGTACGTAAAGAATATGGGAAATGCCTGCGTACACATTGTTGTAGTGGGAAAAGTACAGAGAACTCCATCGGCTCAGGAAAAACTTCTGGGTCACGAACTCCTGGACGGTACTCCACAGGATCACAGGTAAAAAGTATTTCTTAAGTCGATCAATTTGTTACCTTGCCCAAATAATTAACTTTTCAGTCATAATTATTAGAGTTCTTTTCAGCTCAGTTTCTTTAGCAGTTTGCTTATATAGTATCTACACGGTAGGAAAAAGGGTTGTCTGGGGTTTATAACATATAAGATTTTCACTGCTTGTGAGATTCTGCCCCAAATTTTTGTGTTTTGAGAAAAAAATTACTTAGCTGTTATTAATTGCATTTAAAAAAAACGTGTTCAACATGGTTAACAGGAAAAATATACAGAAAATATTACAAAAATACAGTTTTAAAAGTATTGACATCCTGACTTGTTCAGAACGTTGAAAAGCTCAAAATGAAAAGCTCACTTTGGCCAGGGGTTCATTTTTTGTCATGCATGCCTAGGCACAGATCCTTCATTTTTCTTTGAGGGCCTTTTGATGGTATGCAATTATCTTTTTCCCTATATAATTTATTTCTAGAAATATTAACAAATCCTTGGAAGGAGATGTGGACAGGAATATGCAAGATACCGTTAACAATGAATCCCTGTAACTGGTTTTCACTTAGTCTTGGTACTCTGGTCCTGAGGGTCATAAGCTTTTCCTTCATGTGATTGCAGAGTTGTCTTTTGTGTCTTGGGGAAGACTTGATGGGTATCTATACATGCTTTAGGCATTTACTTAAAAGAAGCTTACTGCAATTGCTCATCACAGCTACAAGCAAATCATTGGATGTAAATCATGAAAGCCACAGAAGTACAGAAGGCTCTCCATTACCGCTCTGGCACTCAAAACTTTCATGATGTCCCCAAAGTCCTCTGGAAATTATCATGCTTTGCCTCATGCTTGTTCAATGTCAACCACTCAAAATCACTACCACTCAAGCAATAGAATGAATGAATGAATTGAGATTGGTGTGACTTTGGGTTCTTCCATATAAATTGTTCAGCATGGGCAGCAATGCTTCAGAAATCTCATTGAGAGGCTTGAACAGATCACATCAGCTTCACCTTGCCCTGTCCCAGCATGGATGGCAGTTTGCAATTGAGCTTCCTTGTCTCATCTGCTCCATGGTTTCCAACTTATATTTGCACTTAATTTTATTAAGGCAATGTCTGCTTTCCTATTGGTCACTCTGTGAAGCTACTGGTGCATATATACCTTTCTGTTCACTAGTCACAGTTTCCACATTCTGTATACAATGAGAAGGGCACGCTCCTATAAATCCTGACTGGTTCACCATTTGTTATCGGCATGTACAACAGATATATCAATGGTTAAGCCAAGTGAGAGATGATCAGAAAGGACTGGATTTTTCACACACATACAATGCACCCTGCAACCAGTAAAAGACAAGCTTTAAAAAGATGTGTAAATATACCAAATTTGGATAGAGATTCTTGGAAATAGGTGAGCCTTTGGGTAACCCGGTCCCAAACCATGTAGGGCTTTAAAGATGACAACCAGCAACTTAAATTGCACCCAGGAACATACCAGTAACCAATGCAGCTCATGCAGAAGTGGTGTTATGTGTGTGTTGTATATCTAGCATCTTTTATTACCCAAACAGCTGCATCAGTTGAAGCTTTTGAATCTTCTTCAGGGGCAGCCCCATGCAGAGCACATTTGCAGTACCTAAATGACAGGTTACAAGGGCTTGAGTTACTATGAACAGGGCCTCTAGGTCCGAGAATGAATGCAACTGACATACCATGTGAAGTGTACAAAGTCTCTCCTAGCTATGGCTACCAACTGCAGGATCCATGAGTCTAGGAGGACCCCTGGATTGTGCACAGGGTCTAACCCATCTGCAACTAAAGATGGAAAATCCTTGTCTCCACAGGGTCCAAGAACCCATAGCAATTCTGCTTTGCTAGGATAGAGCTGGAGCTTGTTTCATCCCATCCAGTCCCCCCAATATGCCACTGTTATAGAAAGATGGGATACTTAATTTATTTCCTTTTGGGGGGGGAAGGGATTTGTTTATGAATATAAAACAGAGATGGGGAACTACATTCTTGGCCAGAAGATGAGCACTGAATGGCTGTGATGTATCTTGCTTACCTTGGTGGGCAGGAAAGAAACTTTATCAACTGCTACTAGATCTGGTTAGATTAGCCATATGTTTCTAGTGTCTTGGTGAGTGAATTGGTATGAAAAGCCCTGCTTTATTCTAATTTTGAAATAAAGAGGAAAAAAGAATAATGGAACAGCCTGTCATCTGGCAATGTCCATAATTGTCTGGATGAAGTGTTAGAGAAAGGGAAAAATGTGTTGTAAATAGAAAATACCCCCCCTCTCTCCCTCCCCCTCTCTGTCCATCTTTCCCACCTTCCCTTTTTGGTGTTTCAGCCTGGACACTTGAATGAGATGCCTTCCCACAATCCAGTGTTTTATTCTATAGCCCAACTTCCAATGCTGTAGCCCCCTTTTTGTAGTAGACCCATGAAGTTAACCACCATTCTCTTTCAGTGCCTTTCAGGGTGCTGATCTTATATTCTTCTCCATTATTCTCCAAATTTGCTTCACAATAAATAACATGAAACAGTTCAGCCTTCTCTATGTTGCTTTCAAAGGAGACATGTTCCTCGTTTCTTTCTTTCCTTCCTCCTGTTATTATCAACTGCTGCCTCAGACTTAACTTGCCCAACTCCTATATAATGTGCTTCCAGAAAAGACTAAAATAGTGACACTACATTTTTTTAAAAAAAGGCAAATCACTAGTGCGGTTTCCTATTTTGAGCTTTTTCTTTTAAAAGGGCTCTACTACATCACAATGGCATTGTATTGTTGGGAAGGAAATGAGCTAAAGAAAGAAAACTGAAGCCCTGAAGAGCTAGGAGAGAGCAGACGCAGCAGTGAAAGGGAGAGTGACACCAGAATGGCAGCAATGGTCCAGGGACATCAGAGGACCCAAGCTTTTAACAGAAGTTCAGTCACTGGTAGTATGCCAGAAAACAGCTGACAGTGCCAGCATTGAAGAGCAACCCAAAGACTAGCCACTCCTTTGAGATGTCAAGACTGTATCTAAAGGTACAGCTTCAGGCCCAGAGCAGTTATAAGCAGCAGAAGAGAGTCTATGAAAAACCCCAAATCCTATCTGACTGCAGGACCAAGTGCTAGATAGCTCATCCTACCTCGTCCATACCATGTGACCTCGAAGCAGGTTTTCACTCTGAAAAAATATACTTTGCAATAAGTATAACACAGAAAGCATAGCATAAAATATAAGTTATTGGTTAAGAGATAAAATAGGATCTTGGATTATAAGTGATAAGACTAGTGGCATAGAATACATGAGTAGGTTAAACAACTGTAGGAAGAATGTTTAAGAACAAACAAGTTGCATAAAACTTTTTATAATAAAAAGCCTGCTTATAGGAGTTGCCTTCTTCCCTGCCTGCCTGTGTTCCCATCCCCAAACTGGACTCTTACCTTCTGCAGCTGTTAGCAAGTATTTGTCTGCCACTTTCTTTTTGGCTTGATCTCCTCTCCTCTCCTGCAAACAGGGGCTCTTCCTTTATATAATCTTCCTATTGCAGAAAGGGTACACTGAAACTCTGGTCAGACTTCCCAAAAGAATCTCAGTACAGAGTGCTGAGAAATGCTTCATGCTAGCTGTTTTACAGATGGACATGGTGGATTCACTCATGGATTCATCTCTCCTGGCATTGATCATACAGAAACAGATTCCAGAATGATTGGGGTGGGGACATTGCAAATGTATTTTTGCATTAAAATGCATAGGGAATTTTCTTCTTTACCTTTACTTAGGAAACAGGGCATGTGTGTGTGATAAAACACACTGCAACAAAGCAACACAAACTACATGCATGCACTGTGTCATGAAGTGTTGTGTATTAAGTTAGAATGCACACGTTTTTTTTTTTGCTTTGGCATTGAATGGACTTCTATGAAATAGTATCACATAATGTTGGTTCTCCACAGATCAATAGAATTTTTGTGAACAAGGTTTGAAGTGTTGGTTGGAATTCTCAGGATACTTTGAAGGGCATTTCTTCCACATGGTTCTCACTAGTTAAAGATTTGATTTGCTGGCTGTCTAGTCAATGCCTTGAATACCTTGGAGAAGATGTTTTCAGTGGCCCTAAGGAAAACCAAAGCTGCCTTCAAGTCAGGTTCAACTCTGACAATAATAGGAAAGGTTTATAAAGTACCGATATTGGTATTCTTCAAGCATTATTCTTTTTCTTTTAAATTTTCCAAAGCCTTTATCTAAGTAATTTGCACTCCTGCAAATACGATTGGTTTTGTAATGTTTCTTAGCCAGATTGTTTGTTAATCTGAATTAATTGTTCATTAGTTAAATGGAAGTTCCTTATTGTTAAAATACAGAGTAACCAATAATAATAAATATATAAAAAGCAAATGTTCTTTTTAAAAAATGCTAAGAACAGATAAAACAGTCAAAAAGTGCTAATGTTATTCATATCCTTAATTTGATTTAAAGTCATTAGTATCTTGTGAAAGGATTTCTGACCCAAAATTTCATAAGTGGAAGCATGGAGTTCATGCTGAGTGATATGCAGCAAAATGGGAAGAACTTAACCAGAATTTGCAGACTAAAATGGTTACTTTTGGAACCTCATCTTTGCCATTTCAGTTTGCAGATTTGGAAGGTTAGGCAAAGTCATCTAGACCCCTGTATATAAAAAAATATATGTGTGAAATATTACCTGTTCACAGGTGTTCTTTGTGTTCCATCCTTTTCCTTGCTTCAATTTTGACAAACCTTTAGCATTTTTTTTAAAATCTTTAAATATGCTTGTGAGAGAAGGAATATCAAGTAGGGTATGAATGAATCTTAACATGATTTTCCTAGATCACACCAAGAATATAGCAGAGAAGTATTAAGAAATTTTAAGCCCAGGCATCTGCCAAGAAGAAGGAACCTGTAATATTTATTGCATGTTATTTTTTATCATAACATCAGAACTGTTTCACAACTTTCCAGGTTTCGGTAGCACCGAATAACTATTTTCTTAGTTTGGTTTGAGATTTCTGCAGGGGGAAAATGAGCTTTGTGTTGGAGTACTATAGCAACATTTTACCTCTAGGTAATAATTGACATTTGTTTCCTGCATAAATTTAATGAAATGGTTTGCAACAGTTAGCTACAGCATGCAGGTTTATTATACAACTTTTTGTCCAGAAGCTCAAGGCAATGTACATGATATCTCATCCCACCTCTTTTTCTGCAACATTCCTATTAGGTAGATTGAGCTGAGATATATATAGAGATAAATGATAGATTGATTAGTTAGTTAGTTAGTTAGTTAGGCAGGCAGGCAGGCAGGCAGGCAGGCAGGCAGGCAGGCAGGCAGGCAGGCAGGCAGGCAGGCAGGCAGGCAGGCAGATTTATGGCAGATTTGAATCAATTTTTTTATCCCATAAAAACCTTTTATTTCCACACTCCTGAATTACTGAAATTATATTACTATTGATTCCTAATTTAAAAAGGGACAAAAAATCTCTATATGTAGAGTTAATTATAAACATTTTTTCTATATTTTATTCCTGCAAAACTATTATTTAATAAATAAATAAATAATCACTTCTGACATTGATACTTTAGTAAATTGTATATAATAATTGTACATAATAATAATAATAATAATAATAATAATAATAATAATAATAATCAACACAGCAACAGTCATGCTGATTTCATTTTGCTCTTGTGCATGAACAATATTTTTTAAACTTGTTTTGCTACTCTCCACATCTTCGAATGAAAGCCAGTTAATTAAAACCAAAATTAAAAATATTCAGTTAAAAGCCTGTTTTTAAAAGTATGTTTTAAAAATCAATGAGCCAACAAAGAGCTATTGGTATCTGTGGAGGGCAGGGCAGTAAAGGACATAATGAAACATGCATCATAATCAAACTCTCCTCTTACCACTTACATATGCTGTGCAGAAGCCTGAATATGTTGAACATATGCAATGACCACCACATTGCAGTTTTCATCATTGTGATGTCATCACAGTTAAAAACAATAGAGAAATTTTCATAGAAATGGAATTTGCATAGACAAATTTCAATATTAAATCTACTAAAGTGGAAAAGGCTCCTAAAGTGGTGGATTTCCAATTGATTCATTCAAAAAAGAATCTTAATTTATTTTATTTTATTGCAGGATGATAATAATGCATCTTTAAGCAAATGTCACTTTAAAAAAAAAAAAGTTGGTTCTCCTATAAGTCTATCCAGTTCTAATTCTCATTCCTTGATAAATGTGGATGCTGAGATATTGACAGATAGATCTATCAGTATTGGTATTATTATCTGCCCAGTCTAGATTGAATGTGAGTGCACTCATTTCAGATGGGTTTTAGGCCAGATCGTACTATGGAGACAGCATTAGTTGTGCTTCTTGATCACGTGGATAGTGAATCCTTTCTTTGTGACTGGCTTGAGGTTTGGTAATATCACCAAAGTGATAAAAAACAATTATGCTAAACAATCCTGGGCTGAGGCCATCCAAGTAATACTGTCAAGGTCTTGTCCCTAATTCTGAAAGCTACTCAGGTCTGGATGTGGGAGGAGCAGAGTGAGGCTTAATCCTAACAAGATTGAATGATTGCAAATGTTTGGGCCCTGGGTCTCGGCATCTTCCATTTTGTATCATAGATGGGTTGCCTTTGCTCATGCAAGCATGGTGGACTACTGAGAGATTTGTTTGTTTGTTTGTTTATTATAGCCACCCAGCTCAACCAAGTGACTCTTATACTCAGTTCATATTTATCAAACAGATAACAGCAAAGGCCAAGAGGGCCTTTGTGCACATACTTCTTATATAGCAATTGTGCCCTTTCCTGGCCTGAGCGATCCTTCACGTTTTAGCCACTAATAAAAGGATTGCTGTAATGCACTCTACATGCGGGCTACTTTTGAAGATTAGCTGAAAATTACAGTTAGCCAGAATGCAACAGCACAAGCAATGATGGCAGGTTTCATTATGCCACCGTCAACCCATTGCTCCACAAAATAAACTGATTATCAATTAGCTGTGCAATCCAAGGTGTCAGTTATCACCTGTAGAACCCTTCCTGGCATAAGACCAGGTTATTTGAAGGACAGTGTGCTTCCAGTTGTTTCTGTCTTTCCAATGAGATCTGGCAGAGTGGACATGTTTTGGGTCCTGTTGATTAAGCTGTATAATCTTATAGGACCTCCCCCTTCCCTCCCTCTCCCTCTCTCTCTCTCTCTCTCTCTCTCTCTCTCTCACACACACACACACACACACACACACACACACACACACACACACATCCAGAGGACCCCCATCCTGAAACTTTCAGGAAGCTATTAACGACTTGCCTGTTCGCCCAGGCTTTGGGGCAGGGTGGTGGTTGAACCACTTTCAGGTGGGGGTGCTTGTCTTCAGGCTAGGTGTGATTTCTTTTTGAAGTTTTTTCCCTTTGTTTTTTAAAGACTAGAACACATAAAATATTATTACTTTAGAGGAAAGCTAGAATTTAAATTTAAAATTAAATTGAATTTAAATTAAATTCAGGTTTCTCACCACATATGCATCTTACCTTTGTTTGAAGGGTGGCATTAAAAGTGCAAAAATTAAGTTGTGTTTTGAGTACAGTTTGAGAATTATTATTTTATTTTACTGAAATTGTTTACTGTACATGCATGTATGCATTATATTTCATTAACATAATTTAGTGCCAAAAAAGTATATGGAAAATGCTGAGACTCATTGCAAGTGAAATGTAACTAGGGAAAAATATAATCCAAATTACTGTGATAAATTTCTCTCAGAACATTTTAGACATAAAGCATCAGGTATTTCTACTACTCATTACATTTCTAGACTTGGTAATTGAACATACATTTCAATTTATATATCAATTTATGAAACAATTAACATACATTTATAAACAGTTCTCTCATATACTTGCATTCAACACTTACTTCCCTAGTGGCAATCTGAACATTGGAGAGGTAGAATGAGTATTATGTTTTCATTACATTAACTGAGTGGAAAACTTTTGTTTTTATTTACTTACTGATTTTTATTTAGGAGCTCAGGGCACTGTAACTAGCATCTCTCCTCCTATCTTTTCCTACAAAAATGATTTGTGCAGTTGGACTAAGAGAGAAGAACCAACATTAACTCAGCCAGGAATTTTCTGTGGCTAAGGATAAACTAAAGGCAACATTTTAACTACTTTACTATACTGGAACTTGCACTGCTTGCAAATTTTAAAAAAATACTGGATTAGATGGATTTATTCACATTTTAGCATAGTTTTGGGCAACTTTCTGACTTGAAATCCACTTTATTACTTTTTACCTTGTTTAAGGGACAAAAAATAAGGGTTCATGAAATTGTGTTGTTATTAGAGGGAGAGAGCTGAAAACAATATACTTTTTTTTGCATTTTTGGTGAATTCTAAGTGGAAATTGTCTTGAACTTTAACATACATGTTTTACTCCATAACACTCTTGAATAGGAACAAGTGAGCCCTTCGTTCCAGGGTGGAAGGTGTTAGGTGGTCTTATAAGTGCATGAGCTTCTGAAAGGTTTGATGCACTTGGTTTCCCCAAGTCAGAAAAAAAAGTCCAAGATTTTCAACTTGACCCACTCTGGGCATCTCCGGAGGGCATACATGTAAGCTGCATATTGTCCACCCTTGCTCTAGGAAATGCAGGGAGCTCTTTGCCCAGAGAGAACAATTTCAGAGAGAAAATCAAAACACCTTGCTTACTTCCTGCACTGCCAGAAGCCTTCTCCACAGAAACAGAAAGAAGCAGGTCATTGTTTCCTATGGATCCTCTGCTTGATGTTCATCTTCTGCCCCTTCTTCTTGTGCTTCTGCAGAGCCGAATTCGCAGGATGTGGAACGACACTGTTCGAAAGCAATCAGAATCCTCCTTCATCACTGGTGATATAAACAGTTCAGCATCACTTAACAGAGGTAATTATGGACTTTTCAAATACATATGACCTTTGTAATTATGAAGAATCTAAACAGCAATGCTTTGTTAACCTTGCAACATGTAGCATCTTGTTCCCTTGAATTAAAATGTTACCACAGAATAAAAGATCCATTGTGCACTGTATTTCATTAACAGAAAATACTTCTTTTAACTTTCTCTCAGTTCTTTAACATGGATATTAAATGTTGTTGAAAGTCAGTTGCAGAAGGAGTAGTGGCAGCAAGGCAGAATAGTTTTGAATAGAATAGGTAAAGGTATCTGTCTTCTTAATGTTACTGCTATTGCCAAGACAAATATTGTCGAGCTTAACTGCCATCCATGAAAGGTATTGGTACGTCCTGCTAAACACTGAAGTCCAAGAAAAGGTTCCATAATGGGAAAACTTGCTGCATAACGTGGATTTATGCCATTTTTCCAGCATAGCCTTCCTGGGGTCTTCAGAGGTCAGCGGGAAAATCCATGTTAATATCACCTACATATAGTAATGTAATGAAGATGTTTTCAGCCAGCCTCAACATTGGATCTAAAATTAAAGTTTTCCAAAATCAAAGAAACCAATTTTCCGAAATCCATTAAAAGATGTGCCAGAATTCTGAGGATAGGAAAAACATTCCTCTCAGGGAATGTTCTCCCCGCCCACACACACACACACATTATGTCTTCTTCTCTGCCACCACCACCATCAGTGATCACTAGCTCTAGAAAACAACTTTCTCAAAGATTCTGGGAAAGTTAATTGGAGCAACAGTGAGGGTAACTGTATGTTTGTGTGGGAGAATGGGGGTAAAAGTAATGCTGAAAACCCGATCAGATTTTGGCTACAGAGAAACAGCCATTGGGAAGGAAAGGCAAAGCAAGAGTCTTTCAGTGTCACTTCACATTGCCTTTTTTCCCTCTCTGAAAATCCCAAGTATGATACAAGATGATGGGTGTTGGTCTTCTGGGGGAAAATGTTAAGTAATGGTAGTTTTCTGAATGGTTACACTTCTGGAGGCATGAGAACTAGAGCCATGAAAATAATGGCATTTTTACTCATGCTACACTAGCTTCAATAGCTGTAACAGAGGACAGATGGGTCTCTAACTTAAAACTACAGCCAGAAAAAAACCCCTGAGGTTACCATAATTCTATTTCATGTTTGAGATACTACCATATATTTCCTTGTTCTTGCATTTTCAAAGCTGAACTTGTACAGTTCCTCCAAGTATTTTTCATTCATTCCAATGTCCTTTGATGACATTGTTTAGTTTTTTTTCCTCAACTTTTTTTAAGCATGGTTCCCAGAACACTGTTAAAATCTTAAGAAGAGCTTAGTAGAATATAGGAAATAATAGTCTTGTGATTCAAAAACCTTATTTTTCTTGATACAGCCCATGTTGGCCTTTTATACTCCAGTGTTATACTATTATTACAACTGAAATTTCATCATCTTTTTCACAAAGCTAGTGATTCTCATTCCATGTTGAGTTCTGATAATCACTGCATTGTTTCCAAAGGGTTTATATCACTGCATGATATTCTGCTCTAGAATTTTCCCAGGTAGATGCCATACTCTCATCTGCAATTCCCCATGTTCTCCTGGAGAACAAACAATACTTGCACTCTTTCAGTCATTTGGCTCTTCACCTGTTGCCCAAGGTTTTTGAAAGATAATGGACAACACTGTCAGTCAGTGTCTTCTATATGTTAGGATATAATTCATCCTCTGGACTGAAACTCATTCAAAGTTAGCAAGTGTTCCTTGTTACATGTGTATTTGCCTCAAACTACAGTCTTTCATTGTGCTCTTTATAATTACCTAGTAGTGGACCATAAGCTACCTTATTGGAAAAGACTGAGACTAAATAGGAACTAACTTCCTTTGTTAAATTATTCTGCCATGAACATCTAATCATCATTGTTGTAAATTTATCTGCAAGTTCAAGATATTGCAATAGTAAGAAACAAGAGTTTGGGGAAGATCTTTAGAAAACCAAAGGAAAAAAACCTAGCAAAAATGTACAAAAGATGCTAAGACAGACACCTCCAGGGTGGATAAAAATCGGTGATTTTTTTTAAAAAAAATCAGATTTCTTTAATTTAAATGGGATTTTTAAAATTTAAATGGGATTTTTTAAATTTTTATTAAATTTATTTTAATAAAATGCTTTTGGAGTAAAAATCTATATAAAGATAGTTTTCTATTTAAGATACATTAATAATTTAGTTTGTTCAGTATGAAATGGAGCTTAGTTATGTAGCATGAGGCTGTATATTCTGCAATATTTACATTTTTGGTAAACTCATTCAATGAATCCAAGCTCTGCAAGCTGAGATAAAATGCACTGCATTGATGCATTCACACAATTTCACAGTAACCATGAGATAAATCATAAAACAAAGTTCAGGAATATTCCTTTATCCCATTGTTTTGTAAATCTGTCAAGCTTCCATGTTCCATGAAATAAAATGTCATCTTCAGGATCAACAAGTATATGTACACCACAAACTGTATGATTGTTTGAAGAGAAATGCATCCGTATCTCTAAGTGTGAGGAAGAAGAGCAAGCAGTAAAACTGAAAGTGAAACCTCCTAAGAAGCTTATAAATATAATATTAAAGAGCACCGGTCATTTCAGATCCATCATGGCAGTCCCTTTTAGTGGGCACCTGGTGCCTGCCACATCCCTCACCTTCTTGTGTCACTGTCGCATCACCAGCTGTCCCTTTAAAGTAAATAGGACTGTCGGTGAGTCAACAGCAGGTCAGAGAAGGAGCCACTGAGGGACTAGAGATTACAGTTGCTCTTTAAAAATTATGATTTAAGTTGAGTTTATTTAAATCAAGCCTTTTTACTAGTGATTTAAATCATGTTTTAAATTGTGATTTAAATCAATTTAATCACTAGTTGATTTAAATCAAATCCATCCTGGACACTTCTCTAATTTAAATGAGCATAAAAAGCAAATGAGATATAGCACAATGAGATTTGAAAGATTCTTCTCAGCACCACCACATAGAAGAGATCAGGACTCAACTACATGTAGCCACTTAATAAAAATAGTATTAACCTCATGTGAATTAGGAAAGTGTCTGTGTTTAGAATTACCCTGCATTCATCATCTCTGTCCTGCCACCGTTTCATTAGCTAACCAAATATATTTTTCTACTACTACTTTTAAATGCTGAGCCACATGCTCTGGGACATTTCTCTTTGTTTCTGAAATCCATTTCTGATCATCTAGAGTAGTTGATCTAGTTGGTCTCTCAACATAGAGAGACCTAACTGAGAATCTTTTTTCTATAAATTCATTAACTGAAATTAATATTTTCTTTACCTAGCTTCCCTCAACTGTGTCAGTCTTTCCAAGTCTCAGTATCCTCCACATATCTAAAGTTTTATTCCTCAGAATTCTCAACAGTGGCCAATCTAATGATTCTCCCTCCTCCCTCCCTCTCCCTCTCTCTCCCTCCCTCTATCTCTCCCTTCCCCTCCCTCTCCCTCTCTTCTTCTTCCTCTCCCTCTCTCCCTCCCTCTCTCTCTCTCTTCCTCTCTCCCTCCCTCCCCCTCCCCCTCTCTCTCTCTGCTAAAAAGAAGATACTGTACTAAATGTTCATGTTAAAGTGCAGAGATTCCTTTAGATAATTTATGTTTCCAAATATAATAGAAGTAAATTTAAAGAGTAAATTTATTTTTTTTAAGTATAAATATTGATGGCAATATTATTACTGCCTTTTAAAAAGTTTTCTCCCCAACTGGATGCAGACCAAGCATTTGTAAGCCATGGATCATCAACACTCGCATCTTGACCTTGGGGCCCTAGTTGCCTTTCTCCCAGCTCACCATTTTAAGTACATTATTTGGCAGCATGTGTGGGGAAAAGATGCCACATTTATGAAGCAAATAGCAGAAGAGAACCTGAAACAGCTTCTGATACTGAGAATATGGAGCAAGGAAGACATAAATATTTTTAGGCTTAAATATTATAAGTTGTAACTATCTAGCTGTCCTCTCTAAAAGCAAATAAAATGCGGGGACTGATGGATTTCTAATCCAGTTGTGGATTTTTTTTAGCTTTAAACTACCATTTAATTTTTTTAATGTGTTTCAATTATTGCCTTCCTTCTTGAGTCATTTCAAAATCGTTCAATTTATTAAATTTCTTAGGGCCACCCACTTCATTAGATATTAGGTGGCTTACAAAATCCCAGAGACAATTAAAACACTTAAAACATGCATAAAGAGATCACAAAGATTAAAATTGTCAGAACAAATTGTAGAGATTGGAATTTGAAAGAGCTGCAAGGCTACGTGATTTTATTTATTTCCAAGATCAGTTTTTTCTATGGCCCAAACCTCCATGTAGTAAACATAAATTTATATTACCAATATAAAGCCTATACTATATCCAGTTCTGTTGCAGACCCATAGGTGATTGTTGTTGGTAATATGCAGAAAAAGCAGAGCAGGGATGGTAAGGTGTGGGGTGGAATTTGGTCAAGAGCAGTCGCAGTCTTGGCTCTCTGCTTGGGTTTTTAAGCAGCTTTTAGAAATCTCATTGCCCCCCAAAAAGCCTAGACCCAGGTAAGTTCCGAGGTGGGTGAATTGAGGACCCAGACTGTGGGGGCAATTTGCTGACTCAATTTGCTAAAAATCTGTAAACCGCTTAGAGAGGGCTGAAGGCCCTATGAAGCGGTATATAAGTCTAATAAATAAATAAATAAATATTTGGGTACCTGTTCACCCTCATTTATGGCAAAGAGTGGGATTTTTCCATAATGAAATCCTACTGGTAAGGAGCAGAGAGCAAATTTCAGGCACATTCATCCGAAAATCTCATTTTTCTAATCTTTGCCAAGCCCATGGCATGGAGAATTGTGTACAAGGTATAATCTTCTTCTCTATTTCCTTCCTTACCATTTTTTTCACCAATGTTGTCTCCTTTTCCTTACCCAAAGATACCCCACCCCTTTAATACCCTGAATTCTGTTTGATCAC